CCTGCCAGTTTTACAGTGTTCTTTTTTACCTTTGTTTGACATGTGCTGATCTTACAAAAACAATATTGAAAACTCATGTTGATATATCTGGCAGTAAAATGAAATTTTATTTGTGAAGAAGAATTTGGAAAAGTATTTCTTTCTATTGTGTGTAACAATTGCCTCAGTAAAGAAGGTGGTGTCTGAATTAAGAACTACTCCAGTAAAAGTAATTTTGCTGAAAGTCTTTACACATTGATTTTTGCATTTCTGAAACTAAGTTGTGTGAGGTCTGCATCAGGAACAGTATAGGAGAGGCTTTAGCTGTGCTTTTAAAGTGCCTATAAATGCAGCATTTGATTAACTGTATAGTAGGTATATATGCAGTAGTGAAAACAATAAAATCCTGATGTAAATTTATGTGGCAAACCCCCCTCCCCAACGGAACAGAAGGCAATAGATGGACAGTAAGAAGGCATAGCTGAAGTTTGTGGCGCTGTGTGTGAGTAGGGGATCTGCTTCTCCCGCCCCTTCTCCTCAGTTCTACTCTTACTGACTAATCTTCCTGAGGTAATCTTGAAAGGAAAATCTGTGACTGTGGGGTCTTTTGTAGTGGTGGGGATGGCTACAGAGACATGTTGGCAGAGCTGGACCAAGCCTTTTCTTAGTGCATTAGTGCATTCAGACAGTTTCAGTCTGCTCCTGTGTGATACAAGGAGCCCTGGCACATTCTTCTTCCAGAGGATGGAATTCCACATGCTGAGCATAGAAACCTGTCCAAAGTTGCAGGAAGGCACATGTGTGTAGAGTCAAATAGTACTCTTAGACAGGTATGAACATACCCTGATGCTGCAGGTTCTTCTAGTGTTTGGAGAGCCACAGAAATTCACACCATGATGCCAAGTACCCTAAAGCATCACTTACAGGGAATGGAAACTTAACTACAGAAAGCTGTACAATGTAAGTGAGCAGAGATGCTGGATCAGATGACCCAGTGTGGTCCATTCAGCCATTCTGTGATTATGTGACCTTGCCAAGCTCAGTATCAGCTGCACCAGGCAGGCCCTTGCCAGTGTTGGCTGTCTGTGAGGACAAGTTGGACTTTAGGACCCTGACAGGCATGGGGTTAATTTTTGTCTCTGTGTTAACTGCTTTACATCAAGTACTCATCTGTGCCCTTGGTCTGAGGTGGCTCTGAGGCTGCACACTGGACAAACTGGTCCAAACTTCTTCCATTATAATGGTGAGCTTTTGCACAAATAGGGCCAGCAAAGAAAAATCTCAGAATCTAAGGAATTTCCTATGATCTCTGAATCCTCAGAAAATCCTATGAAAATAATGAGAAAAAACTGTCCACCTTTAAAATACAAAGGTAAAAAATGTATACTTGCAGTATTCTCCTAAGTAATTATGAAGATGTTTATGCAGAGGAAGAGGTGTGATGAACCATGATGACAGAATGACCACATGAGCTCTTTAAGCCCTCTGACAATTATTTGAAAAATTGATATGCTTTTAATGTCCCTAGCTAAAGTGGTAGCTATGATGCCTCTGGTGTTTTGCAGTGGAAAAATATATGGATTTTGCAGACAATCCTTTGGTGATGATAGTAGAATGCAGTCTGTTAAGTGGTGAGGGAATAGAGATCTCCACCTTTGCCAGTGGTAGATGTATTTAAAATGCTTTATTAGGGCTGAATTTTAGAGGACATAGCTTCCTCTGTAGGTATTTGTACAAGAAAATTAGCCTGCTCATCAGATATTTTGCTCAGCAATAGAACAGCCTTTGAAAGATCTTTTTAAAAGTGGGTGATCCTCTGTAATACATGTGAATATTTTTCTCAGTTTTAAATAATGGACTAAGGTTTATCACCTGCACAGTTTAATGGTGGAGTGGACCAGTCCATTCAGTATGAGTGTATAAGAAAATGGTCCACTGGAGTAAAGAATGCTTTTAAAAGCATTTTGAAATTATAGGAATGGTATAAGGAATGTTGAGCCTATGCCAGTGAGGAGATACATTGTGTTTTGTTCAGAAAATTTATCCTTTGTGCATATATATTTTTTTAGCTCCCTGTGCTAAGCTGAACTCTGCAGACACTTGAATACTTCACACTCTTCACTCAGCTAGTGTCAGAGAAAAATGTGCCAGGATTATTTAATCATTAGACAGAGGGGAAAAAAATCTGTCATGACCTACCAACCAGACATTTCTTGGCAACTGCTAATCAACAGTGTTAGCCTTTTATTGTCTCCCCTGCCATTATCTTCCAGGAAAGGTCTGAGCAAGAGGTCAGAGTAGCTTAAGTAGGTATTGGTTCATTTGTTATCTTTCATGCAGTATGCTGCAGTCAACAGTCTGCTCTCCATTGAAGGTGAAATACTTCACCTTAATTTGTCATGTTTCTTTACTGTAGAATTTGGCAACAAAATTCAAAAGATAAGAATACTTTCTGGTGGGAACATTTCTGAGAATAACTTTCAATGCTTTCTATGAGAATTAATTTTTGAGAGATCTATATTTGGTAAATCACAAATTCCCTCCTCATTGGCAGTCTACAGAAAAAACACATTAGAAAAGTGGGCTGGATCTTAACTCAGATTTCCAGCTCCTAAGACTGTCTCTGTTCAGGTAAGAGCTGTATTCTATGCTTACCTTTGAACAGGCAATTGGATTTGCATTCCTTTCCTGAAAAAACCTTTCTTGGGTGGCATACCCCCCCAAAAAAATTAATTCCGAGAAGATGAGGAACAAAAGGGTAAATGATAGGAAAAATTCACCTAGCACCTGCTTTCTGTCACACAAGTATATTGTGTAGACAGTGGTAACATGCATGGTGACAAGTGACTGTACCTGAAATTTTACATTTTTTAAAAGGAATTTAATTTTAAAGACAATGTTATCTTTGATCAGAAATTGTTCATTATTCAGCTTTGTTCACCCATGCTGCCTTAACAAAACACTGCTGAACAGGAAAACCAGAAATTTGATTGCTTCTTTTCTGGGAATGGAAGTGTCTAGCCTAAGGCACAGGGGAATTTCTCTCACTTTCTCTTTTGCTGTAATACTGGAAACATTTTAAATTTGTTCAAGCTTCTATGGGAAGCCAACACAGACCATCTTCCTCTCCAGCATAGAACAGCAGCTGGCAAAAAAATTAGTGCCACCACAGCTTTCATGGTAGCCATTAGGCAGCCCAGGACTCCTGGACCCTGGATATGCAGGATAATGCAAGAAATGAGAGAGATCCACCTCCTCTCTCAAATCCAGCAGTAACAATGAGGATCCCCTTCTATTCAGGAAAATCTGGAGTTGCAACATGTGACCGCACTCTTTTGAGGCATTCCAGTAGATAGCTAAAGGCATGGTTTCCATACCCACGGAAAAGGGCTAATGTGGCAAAAGAGTTACAAATGTTCGACCTCACTGGGATTTCCTTGTTGTGCCATTTGGTCTTCCCTCACTTCCACATGCTGTACCCATTCCCAATCAGTTTGTTGAACTAAAGATAATTTATCTCTGCCAGAATGGTTACTTTAGGTTTTCATTCTGTGAAGACAAACCTCATTCTTGTTATGGCCAGAGCTGTAGGAATTAGACTTCCCTTCTCTTCTGTGAAATCTGTGCAACCTGTGCAAACCAAAACCATTTTCTTTTTACCAAGTAGTGGCATAAAGTCTGCGCTGAAGCTTTAATGTTTCTAGGAAATAACTTATGAACCCTTTGTCTATTGTGTGAGGCCACACAGGTACAAAGTGGCGTAAGTCAGAACAGAGATTTTGGGATTTGCAAAAGTGGAGTTTTTAGCAGAGAAGGTCAGGGGCTCTGTAGAGCAGAGAGAGCAGCTAAGCCATTGATCTCGTGGAGCAAATACCAGTCTGCTATACTGCAGGAGAAATTCTGGACTTTTCAGCGAGGCTGGCCTGAACAGGATGGCTCAGGTGCAAAGACAGAGCATGCCAAAATTGATTTTTCTTTTAAAAGTGCATGCATCTGTCATGCAGTGTTTTTTGCATCTAGCCTCAGAGAATAGGTTGTCTGGAAGGTCCAAGCACATGAGCTTTTTACTCTTATGTTTTGCATCAAGAAGCTAGATGTTTACATCACTTGTTGAATTTGAGCTTTATACCCTGACATTTGGGTGAGATGTTTAAAAATAAAACATTATTTTATTTGCGTGCAAAAGTTCCCTCTTCCCTGTGTTGCATCAGAGCGGCTGTTGTTGTGCTCTGCTTTTTCTTTCTGGGACTGTCTGTGACAGCCACCAGCCATCCTGTTTACAGTCGTTAGCGCAAGGAAATTGGAAACTACAGCTACTGGAATATGATTATCTTCTTCTTCATGTCAGGTTTGTCTTTTACTGTAACACAGCAAAATAAATGTTTGTACAGCTAACAGGACATTTATCTAGAGATAAGTAGAAGTGCCATGTCCTTGCTGAATGAGCTGCTGATGTAGAGCTAATTTTGGACCAGCTTACTAGAAGTGGTGATACAAAAGTGTGACAAAAAGGGACAACCTCCCCCAGCCCACAGCCCCTCTATAATCAGAAGGAGAGAAGCCTCTAAAGCAATTGCAGCAAGATTTAGATAAGAACCCCGAAGCAAGCAAACGCTGGCCCCTTTGTTAGCTTCTAGGAAAGGACAGTATTGTGCAATGTTTAGTTAAAGGCTTATACCACTTGTAAAGGCTCTTGACTGAACAGCAGTCTAGTTAAAATTTCCTCCAGTTCAGTGATCAAAGTGAAACAATGCCTAAACCTCAGGACTGTGCAACCCTTGTTTTATAAAGATAACAGTACACAATTGCATATTTGTCACTGAGGAGTATGGAGAATTAAATAAGACGTAAATCTGTCTGTGAAATGAACAGTTTTGAACAGAACATGGTAAAGGTCTGTCTGTTCCACAGTAATTAGTGTTTTGTTGTACTTTTTTAACTTGTTGAATTCACAAAACCCACAAACTTACAATTTGTAAAATGTGTGAAAAACAAAGAGACAAAAGACTTCAACTGCTAAAGCTGCCTTTTATTTTGAGTTTATTTTCTCAGTCTTAAAAAGATTCTTTTTATGGCACACAGCATCAGAATCAGCACCTTTGCATTTACGAATTACAGAGAAGCCCTGTCAATTTGTTTCCCTAGTTTCAACTTTTAAATCATGCAGAAAACCTTATTCTTTGTTCCTTTTTTCTGTGAAAGGCTTAACAGCACATTGCTGCAACAAAATCATGTTATGAGGGTGGGCTCCATTCACAAAATAAATGTACTACACATTAGATGTTGATTAAGTAATTTCATCATAAATGAAATTTTTAATGCAAATGCATATATATAGATATACACACAGTGCAGCTTTTGTTATGTGCTACCTTACCTCGGTTTTTGTTATGCTCCATCATTAGTGCAAATTAATGAGATTTAACTGTAAAGTTATCTTTTAAACAGTAGCTGTGAAGTTATCTTTTAAGCAGCCACTTGGACATATTTCAACTAATTTAGGCCACTGTAATTAATTAATTTCCAGCATCTGATTTGGCAACTGATTTCTCAAGCTCCTCTTCAGGATTAGATTTCTTCTGGTTTGGGATAGCAGGTAGGACACAGCTTGGTTTTAGATGTTCTCCTGATAGACCAGGCAGGAGAGAATAGAGGATCTGACTCTGAGAATGTCCTGTTTTCGGAGATCTGGAGATTGGAGCTGGTGGGAAAATAACTGCACCAGTCCGTACGGACTTAAACTTCTTAGCATCCTGAGATGGCAGCTGAACTAGAGGAAACAGGAAAAAAGAGAAAGTGCACAGAAAGTGAAAAGCATGGCATTTTTACAAATGATTTTGCAACTTCCTTTGAACTGTTGTCTCTTACTGTGTGTACTCAAGCCTGTACTTTAAAAATGTGATCAAAATACTAATAAAATATTGTATTTTTGTATTCAGATGAAGATAAGCCTGGCAAGAGTTATCTTCATCTGAAGGAAACAACTCCAGTGTTAAGTGATTTACTTTTGATTTAGTGACCAGTAAGTCTTGAAAAGTTCAAAAATTCACTTTTGATAAGCAGAGAACCCATCATTTGTCTGGAGGAGACTTGGTCCGTTTGAGAAATTTTCACAATATTTTTTTTCATTAGAAATCACAGACTGACTGCAACAGAAGTGTTCCATGGGAATATATTATTTCTAACAAAAATGCTCTATTGCTGAAGGTAAATGCTGATCATAATCTAAAGAAGATGAAATGTAGAATGTGGGATGTTGTGTCTGGGTTCCTCTAGGCACAGTCAATCATAAACAAAAGTCCACACATGCTCTACTATTCATGGGCCACAAAAGTAGCCCATGACCCTGTAGCACACCAAGACACACCAAAACACTTGAGAGGCACACCCATTATGTACCTCTCTTGTTGTCTTGTAAGAAATTGTGGCTTTAGATAATGCCTAATCTCCAGCTCACAGTCATCAGTGTAACATTGTTTGTGCTTCTAAGCTAATATAGTTCTGTATTTTCTTTAAATTGAAATTATCAGGATCCTTCTTTCAGACAACTCACTAATTCCCTGATTTTTTTAAAAGGAGAATTCAAAACCATAATTGTAGACCTATTTTTCTGTGCTGTCAATTTATCGTGAATTGCATTAGCTTCTTTTCATTTGATCTCTATTTTATTCACAAGCTCTTTGTATACAAACAGTTTTGTTTTTTATAGTTTAAGCACATAAAGAGTCCTTCCTGGAGCTACATCATCTCTGTTTTGGCAACAGAATTTTGCAATTCTTTACATTCATTTTTTTGTTGGTTGCGTTCTCATTGTATTTGTGATTTCCTTCCATCTGTGTATTTGTGATGAATTATCTGAAAGGCTATTAACACTTTCCTCTTCAGTGTTCTTGCTGGAAATTTTGTGCTTCATTTAATTTGCCCCACTGAAAATAAATGCTACCTCTCTAATGTTGGCTGTGGCCCTCACTGCATATATTTGTCCATCTATCTACCTATATCATCGATATCTATCTATCTATCTATCTATCTATCTATCTATCTATCTATCTATCCATCTAACTATACACATGGTACAAAAGAGGCTAAAGTTCTTGTCATAATCCACTGTGGCATGCACCTTATACTAATTTAATAACTGATTATTTATTTTTCAGGAGCAGTACTTTTCTAAAGCTTACCAGGAATACATTTAGGCCAAAGCAGGATCTTTATAGAGAGGATTTAGAAACTTGGCAGATTCTTTTCTTTTTAAGCTAATTTCAATTACTATTCAAGTTGTGATTACTTGAGCAGACAGTATTTACTACAGCTGCCTGGCCTCCAGCAGTGTACTGTAATTCACTGGTCATATTTAAGATTCATTCATGTTCAGAAATTCAGTAAATCACTTCTCCTTTCCATAAAAAACACCCAAATCATTAATACTTTGCTTTAGTTGGTGCTGAATTTGTGTGAGTCTGGGAGGGCTATATACAATAAATGAGCCATTTGTTTTCTGGCATGTGGTAGAATACTCTGAGTTCACTGAAATTTTGGTGTGCATTCAGCAAATGTTGAGAGGCTTACTTTTGTCCCTCTTTGGAACATAGTCATATGTTAATATATTCAAAGTTCACATCTGTGTGAAAAATATCTATAAAGCTTTATGCACTCTATAAAGCATTAAATGCATTATGCGCATTAAAAGCTTTAAATGATGGACTTAAGTAGGCCAAAACCACTGCAGCTTAACTTCAGCCCCATGACAGCAAATCATAAACATTTGAGCAGCCATCACAAACTCATGCTCATTCAAAGAACCCAAACACCAATGCCTCCCACACTGTCCCACATACTGTGCTCAGTTTAGGATATTCAATTTAGGACTTCAGGGCTGGTACATGGATGGCTCTGAAACAATGCATATAATGACAAGTATTAGTACATGTCCTGAAACACACGAGCCTGGACCCAGAGCTGGCATCTGTGGGAGGCAGAGCCCTTAAGGCCCCAGGAGCTACACACAGGAAAAGCATCATTAATGATTCACACAGAGGGCAGAGTTGGTCACCAAAGACCTGAACAGCAGGAGCTACTGGTTCAGGAAGCCTTTTCCACTCAGCAGAGACTCTGGAGTGGCTGCTATTACAAACAAGGCTGTCAGAAAGGCATTGCCCAAAGAATATGGAGTCCAACAGAAGAATGGGTCTTAGACTCCCCTCCCTTGCAAGCACTGGACAACAGTGGCCTTCTGCAGTGGTGTGGGTGCTTTGTGGAATGCTTTGCTGTTAACTTGGGAAAGAAGAAACGTCAAATCACGATGAAAAATGTCAAAAAACAATCACAGATCTCCAGAAAATATTGTTAAATGACCTATAGAAAGAGATTTTAAGTTTGTTTTTTGAATTTGTTGTTGTGGTGGTATTTTTCCCAGCAATTAATAATGTCACCTTTTTGTGTATCAGACACATGTTGTCTCCTCCTTCCAGAAATATCTGACCTTCTTAACTACATCTAGAAGTTCCATATTTTTTTTGAAGATTTTTTCTGGCACTTTGTGGGGAGTGTGTGACAGTCTGTTTTCCAGGGATTGTTGGAAGTGTTGCATGATGAGATAGAGTGTGTGGGGGATGAAGAGGCAGCCTGCAGAATAGGAGATGCAGTCTGTGCTGAGGCTACTCAAGAAGTCAGGTGAGGGATCTCTGGCCCTGGGAATATCTGAAGGGTGAGAATTTATTGTTTAAAATCACTCAAGTACTCTTCCCAGGCTACTGTTTCATTCCTATTTTCCTCTTTCTAATGTGTATTGTAAAACATTTTTACTGAGAGATTAAAAAGTTCTTCCTTCTTTTTTCATTGCCCTTCCTTTTTGGGGGGAGATACTTCTTCTTTCTCTATTTCTGAGTAGTTTCAGTTCTCATTCTAGTTTTTGCTTATTTTATTCTTCCAACTTCTTGGTAGCCTTTTTTTTTTTTTTTTTTTTTTTTTTTTTCCCCTTAGGATATTTTTAACACACATCTTGTGTATTAAAAATACTAGAGAAAACACAAATATTTATACTCAGACTTTGTTGCTGGAGCACTTTACCTGGATAAAGGCTATGTCCAAAAGGATAATATTTTTAGGGCTGGATGGAGGATGAGTGTGAAATCTCATACTGAGATGAGACTCTGAAACAGTAATTTAGAAAGCTTCATCAGCAAATATGCCATTTGTGTTAACAAGAAATACAGTCTATTTTTCAAATAATTTTGCTTTTCTGTTACTGGCTTGAACTAATGCTCAAGCAGTAATAGCACCTGGATAAATGTGCTGTGTTAGTTAAAAAAACATGATTCTTTAATTGTGACAATTGTATCTTATTTGTAAAACAGTTTTTGGCATGACTTTAGAACTAAATTCTTGACTACTTGTATGAATTAATGCAAGAACAACAATTATTAGGAAAGATTTTTTAAGGATTTTGCTTACAACTCTGATTTAACTAGAAAACACAGAGAACAGGAGTAGAAAGCTTAAAAACCAGAATGCTTTGACTTAGGATTTTAAAAGCAATCAAAAGCAATTAAATTATTTTCTTCCTTCTGAGCAGACAGAGAATACCACCTCAGTAATTCAAACACCTTTTCTTCTTCCTGTCTCATGTAGAAAATAGCAGCAGCACAGGATTCTGTATATCCCCACCCAATCTGATGGTCCCTGTAAGTCTGTCTCTGCCCATTTTCTAGCAATATTGTCATTACTGCAGAATTGCTTCTGACATTCAGATTATACGTTGCAGGGAATATTAAATTTATATCTGAATGTCTTTTGGACTTGGCTGATCCACAGGAGGACAATCAGAAAACTGTAAATCCTCATCCAGTATCCACTGAGCACAAGAATGTGAGGTTAGGATGCTGCTGGGAGTAGGGCTGATGTCTGTGTATGAAGAAAACTACAGCCTGGAACAATCCCAGTCTTGACACTCTGCTGGGACTCTGGAAGTGGTCCTTGGAGAGCAGGAAGCTCTCTTGCTCCTTGGGACCACTGCTTCCCCAAGCTGAACATGAGCCAACATTGTGCCCATGCAGAAATACAGCCAACGGCATCTGTGGGTGTATTTCAGGAAGATCACTGCCAGCAGATTGTGACAAGTGATTCTTCCCCTCTACTCAGCTTGGCTGAGGCACATCTGGAGTTCTGAGTCCAGTTCTGAGGCTCCCAGTACACAGAGGGAGGGGGACATCCTGAAACAGATCCAATGGAGGGCAATGAAGATGACTAAAGGGTTGGGGTGTCAGCCTTAAAAGGGAGACTGACAGTGCTGGGGCTGTTCAGTGCCAAGAAGAGAAGGCAGCTCAAAGAATCTTGTCAATATGTATAAATGTTTGATTGTGTGGAGTAATGGAGAAGGAGACAGACTCTTCTCAGTGGAGTCCTACAGAGGGAAAAGAATCAATGGCCACAAATCAGTACTAAGAAACTTTTTCCTCCGAGGGTAGTCAAACACTGAGAGATGACACAGATAAAGTGTGTAGTCTCAATCTCCATTCTCAGAGATATTTAAAACAAAACTGGTGTGATCCTAGGCAATGTGCTGTAGGTGACTTCTCTGTGGACATGAGGATGGACAGTCTCCAAAGGTGTCTTCCTATCTCAGCCATTCCATGATGCTGTGGAAAACAAACATGAAACCTCTCTCAAGCACTCAGATGGAGGCATGCAGTGTGATACAGTAACTGACACTTGTCTGTACTTACTTTTGTGAGCACTGTGGTTGGGTATTGGAGCTAGGCTGTTCTGTACAGGTATAACATTTTTCATTTTGTGTTGGTCTATGGACATCTGTTGAAAACTTCTACCTGTGAAAGAAAAAGAAAATCATAATGGAAACAACTGTAACTAGTGTGGTGAACTGTGCATTTCTGGCTTCCAGAAAAGAAAACTTACTTAGTATTTCTCAGAAATATGTAATAACAAGAAACCACTGACTGAAAAAAAAAGAAGCTGTTGCGTAGTTCACTTTAACTCACAAAAAGGGCTGATTGATTGAGTACAACCTTCACATATACCCTTATAGTTTCCTCTCCTATAATATAGCTTTAGGTCTTAAAATGGGCACAGTTTATTAGCTAGGTCTCTGTAAGAATCTTTGGAATCTAAACCTGTAAAATTATTCAAATAGATGATTTGATCTTAAAATTGAAGCTTTAGTTTTCAAAATGTCCTGATAGGGTCTCAGCCTTTATAAGTATTAAAACAAAACCAGAGTTCAATCGCTGGTTGGAAAAGGACATTGAAAGCTATTAGCATTAAAGATGAGCTTTGAAAGGGTTTTTTTGCAGATGAAAGCACATCATAACTGACAGAAGGCTATACTGATCCTTATAAAATCATGTTTATGGCAGTACCATTTTCATCAAGAAGAAAATATACTGGAAAAGGAAAGGTTGGTTAATTCTGGCATGTCATTATTTAAGAATAAAGTTAACTTAGGTCTAATACTATTAAAAAAGACAGTAAGTTAGATGATGTAATGCATTTCATTGCATAAAGGACACGTCTAATACTGAAAAAAGTAGGAACTCAAGCACCAAGTTAACATTTTTACCAGATCTTTTTCCTGAGCTGATCTTATTCTGTGATGCTTGAGTCCCTCAAATTATTTTTCATGTTATCACCAAGTCTGTGATGAGCCATGTAATGGGATGTCTTGGCAAGCAGCTGCTCATCCAGCATGGCTTTGCAACGTAGCTCATTGAAGAGCAGGCATATGCTCTGTCAGCACACAGGGACAAGGGGAGACACGGGGTGGATGTAGCAGGCATCCTAAGCAGGAGGAAGAGATGGAATGACATTATTTGCCTTTCTGGCTTTGCAGCTGGTACTTGAAAATACCTATGTGTTGTTGGGCTGTGCAAGATAAAGCTGTAGAAAAACGGTTTTCTAAAAGTTTTCTAAAGGTGCACAGAAGTATCTGTTATGGCTGCTGTAACTGTGTTGATGACTAAACAGATTCTGTGTGAAAGGAGTTACTGTGGTGTTGGTCAGGCAAACCACCATGTTACAGTGCAGCCTTCAGCCCAGCATGGAGCAAGGATCTGGTCTAAAAGCCACAACAGTTGATAGACATTGGGGCAGTCTGCTGGATCCTGTGGTTAAGCTGATGTGTTTGAGCTAAAGTATGAAGAATCTTGCATGAAGAATCTCTGCTTAACAGAAACAGACTTCAGCCTGGTTTCCCTGTGTTTTACTTTTTAATATCTCTAGTGTCTAGTTGGTAAATTTCTTCTATAGACCTTGCATCCACTTTGCACAAAGGACTAAATATATCAATTCCAATATAGCAGAGAATCGTTTGTTGCTCTTATTAGAGCAATTCAAGTTATATTGGTTTCTGTAATGCTTATGTTGAGAACTAATGGCTTATTGTGTATGTACCATTATGGCCTTGATGATGGGAGGTAGTTGTTGCTATCAAGATATATGTTCATTTCATAAATGGGATATCTGTCAGCTAAACAATGGTACAAAACATAATTATGTTTGCAAGGATTATATGAATGCTTGGAAAAGAATCCTTGTTAAAAGTTTTGGCAGCAAGTGGAAGTTTTCTTCTACTTTTCCTTTCTATCTGTTTCATGTAACATCTGGAAAAACAGTTTTTCTCTCTCTAAAACATCATCTTTGCTGTCCCCAAGAGCACATTTATGATTGCAGTTATTTTTGAATAAATGGAAAAAAAACCAATTTCATTCTTATAAAATGCAGGATTACATTTGGGTCTTTTTAGAGGCTGTATTTTTTTCTTTTAATTTTTCCTTGCACTTGGGAAGGTGAACCACATAGTAATGTATTTTGCGTAAAAGTTGTTAATGTTATGATGAATGTCTCAGAGTAAATTTGAGAAAGTGACAGCCACACTGATCAGCTTTGCTCTGCTTTCCTAGCCAAAAAATGCTTCTTGTTGAACTATACCATACTGCTTATACCATCATAAACTTAATAATAGCCCATTTTTTACATTACCTATTCAAGTAAACAGAAGGTACTGTAATAAAATCTGTAATAAATCTGGAAATTTAGTAACCCAAAAGACAAGTGGGTGATAGGGGTCTCAGAGCTGTCTTATACTTGAGACAGGCTCCTGTTACCCATATCACTTGGAATTCTCTACTTCCACTCTTTTTCCCTGTAGAATGTAGATGGGAGTACCTTTTGCAAAAAGAGATGATTGCAAAGCTCATAAGTAAATGCTTCAGATTTTTGATGCTAGCTCAGTACTGTGGGTGGCCAACTCTCATGGAATTTTGACAGTTTTTAGTATAGACTGTCTTTGCTCTTCTCAGTGGAGGGCAGTAATTCTGAGAGAAACCAATGGCACAGTAGTCATTGCTACACACAGCAACCTCTCCTCTTTGTGTGAGTGTTAATGCTCAGCTAGTAAATGGACTCATTTTTCATTCCCAAGAGTACAGATAATAGAAGAAAAAACCTCCAAAGGCTTTGACACATATATGTGCCAGATGCCTTTGTAGCAAATGAGCACAAAACTTAGCTTTGACTTTGACAATAGACATGGTCATGCAAGACAATCAACATTTTGCGTCAACACAGAGAGGAATTTTAAAATTGCATTTTCTTAGAATATTGATACCCACAATCCTGGTCTAGATATTCAGTGATTAGGAAATTACATGTAGTCCCCCCCCAGTCATGAATTGAGAAATGAAGTATTAACATTTCAGTGTCTTCAAAAACCGGATGTTGTTTTTTCCCCCCTCAGCTAAGTCTCCTGCAGAAAGAAAGAAAAATCAATTAAAAAACCCAACCAAACAACAAAAAAAAAAAAATCACAAAAAAAACAAAAAAAAACCAAACCAACCAAAAAACCCCCCCAAAAACCCCCAAGCCAAACAAAACAAAACAAAACAACAAAACAAAACAAAACAAAACCCCAAAAAACCCCCCAAACCAACAATAAGCTAACAAAAACCAACAAAAGATATTTTTCCTCAGAGAGAGGGCAGCCTGCACAGCCTTGCTGGCTGGGCTGGAACCAGACTTTGCTGCTGATCCCTGTAAGTCCTGCAGGCACAGCACACTGGAGACCTGGGACCCTGGAGCTCATACAGTAAATGCAGTTCTAATTCACAGAAAGTCAGGTGGCTTTAATTACAGGAGCAGACAGATTTAAACCACACACATAGGCATGAAGAGGGATAAGGAGATCTTTTTATCATGAAGAAATGTGAGACAATATCTGTGTTGTGCAATGCATTCCTGTCAGACATTCTCTTCCTCCTTAGAGAATTTTAATTCTCATGTTTCAGAGGAAGGTCCTTTTTGCCAGCAACAGGCATAGTTTCATTATTGGAAAATGGTATTCAATTTTAAAATGGAGCTGGTACAAAGAAAACTGGACTTAAAGAAGATTCAGGCTTTTTATTTTCTGAGAGAGATAAACTGTCAGAAATAAGATAACTTACCTTCCATTTGGGCATTCAAAGATGGCTCCCATTATAACAACTAGATTTTTGTCAAAGGTTTTCCACAAAAACATTTTTTCCAGGAAAACCACCTATCCTTCTGTCCAGAGCAGACAAGGATTTAGCCATTTTCTTAGCACTGTAGTATACTACAATATTAAGAAAAATCTATAATCACGTTTTAAATAACATGATAGTTACTTCCATATCAAATGTATAAATAGTCTAGCAAATTCCAACAGGAATTTTTCCCAGAAATAGCTGCCCTCCAGTTTGGTTTATCCAGCTTGAACTCATTTCTGCTACTGCTGTCAAGTTCAATGATCTCAAATATCTTAGCCTCCCTGTACCCTATTACAGTGAGGCTGTGAAGGAGCCCTGCAGGTATTTGTGTGTTCCACATGTGAGCTGAACCTCGCAGAATGTGGTGTGGGAGGAGTCGTGCAGGAGCAATCATTGCTGGGCACGTGGAGTCTGGGGCTTGTATGGTTGAGTAAGCAGCTGAAGAGTGCCTAGTAAAAAAGTAGTGACACCTTTGGAGCAGTTCTATTAAGCTTTCAGGAATGTGGCCTGGCATCCAGGAAGGGGCACTTTTAAAGTAGTTCCTTTTTACACCAGAAAGCTATTTCCAGCCTTTATTTGCACATTGCATGTATAATGGCCTGTCATTCTGAAATTGCTGTCTCTGCTCTAGTTGTCAGACCTGTGTGCAAAGATTTGCTTTTTTGTAGTTCACTTAATTTAGATTTCAGAACAGTTTGCACTATCATGCAACTAACTGGGGGCTCTTCTCAGGGTTTCTGTTCACTCCTCTTTATACTGAAGGGTAAGGGCTCATGTCTCTTGGGCTAAGTGTAGGTTAACTTACTGTAATATTTTTACTCCTTTTAATGGTATACTGGAAGTTTGGGGTTTGCTTTTGCTTGCTTCATTTTCAGTTAGATATTGCAGAGGTTGGAAGGTATGCTAGATGTGTTTAATTTTGGCATGGGACTAATCCCAAAGGAGATGAATTTGGAGACACTGATATGTTAAAGTAAACTCCAGAATGCAGGCCAGCCAGGCAGATTCATTTAAACATGGACGTGAGTCAAACAAAATACTAGATCCCAAATCCAGCCAAACTCTGGTATCAAGTTCACCTTAGAATTCTAATGCTCTGCTTCATTACTGCTGCATTACAACTTCCAGAACACAGCATAAAAGCATTTGTCCCAGCTCTGTAAATTTAGCAACCTTAATTCAGCTTTGGAGAAACCATAAGAACAGCACATCAGACCAAAGAGCTGGCACTCAGGGTGTGTTTAGGGTGGGAAGAGGTGCCACTGCAGCCTGGAGTCAGAATATAACTATATGGGTAAGGGGGCATGGCATAAAGCTGTCCAGCATGGCACCAGACTTGGCTGGATCCAGAAGAAGCTCTCAGCACAGTTAGAGATTTGGGGGCAAGACTGTTTCCTTGCACACCTACATCCAGGACTAGATGTGGACACAAGGCAGCAGGTGCGGTAGTGGCCGTTAATGTGCAATTCACAAAGCACATACATATTACGTGGAGGCCCTTATTGCTCACGTGCCTAATATACTTCCTAGATACCTGCATTTTTGCTTGCTCATCAGACCTACTAAATCTCCTATTTCTCCTAATTCTCTTCAGCTTCCAACTGATGTCCCACCCACATGCTATCTGTGATGGCCACATAAAGGAGACACTGAAAAAAAAATTAAAACAGAAAAGTTATTAATCTCTACTTTTTTTCTGGCTCAATTTGCTACATGAGTAGATATTATAGGATTTAGGATATAGAGAAGAAAAAAAAATTACCTGATGGAGAACTGGGAAGTGAGGGAAGGCAGGGAGGGCACAAAAGCACATGGTGAGACCTATCAGAGTCTAAGCCATTCATCAGTTTGTCTGAAGAAGTCCTAGTACAGACGTTGTAAGAGAGCCTTTGGTTAGAATCTGTGTTCCAGGGACCATCCAGCAAAGCCTGGCAGCTGTCTGTGCTGTCCAGCAAGTTGTGCTCACCACTACTCTTTTGAGATTTGAATGGAAAATGGTGGGTTCTGGAGCTGGAGGAGAAGCTTGACATTTTGCTCTGGGAAGCAGTTAGGAAGGAATTGCCTGCAGTGATTGGAGGGAAGCTCTGGGTGGTGATGGGTGGGAGTCCTTGACATAGTGATTTCTTCTTTTCTGCTATGAAGTACTTAGTGTCTGTGCTCTTTCTTTCAAAGTCAGGGGTGGTCTTACACGCATCTGGAATGTCTTTGCAATTTTTATTCACAATGCCATCAAAACGGGTGATGATATCATCTACTTCTGAGGTCTCTTCTCCAGGATACTGATCCCTGCTTCTCTCCTTCTGACTGGTTTTCTGATCATCTTTCTTCTTTTTGCAAGAGAAGATCTGGTTCAGCATGCTGAATCGTCCTTCTTTCTTTATAAGTCTGTTGTTCTGGGAGTGCAACTGATGAACTGACTCAGATCTACTGGAAATACAAAACAAAATGTGATGTCAATACTAACAAACAATGAGAAAATACCAATTGTGTTACTCCATTAAAGAAGCAATATTGCATGGGTGGTTCAAGAAAATTAGGATCCCAATTGGTAATTAAAAGACTGAAAATGCTACTGTGTTAATTCACTCTTTCTTATAGGTGAATTATCTTACAATCATCTTAATGATCGTAACTCAGCACAGCTATCTGGGAAAAAAACAAACACATTTTTGTGGCTTCAGTATCTACCAGATGTGAAGATCTAATGATAATGAGAAGAACATGCTGTGATCTTTTAAATCAGGTATTTGTATTATGTCATACTTGGAAAAAGGTATTTCTGGTCATTGCAAACACTGTAAAAAAAGGCACTAATTCTCCATTCCTATTGTCCCTTTCCCCTTTCCTTTTTCCTCTTTCCCGTTTGCCCTTTCCCTTGCCTTGCTTATGCTATAGAGGTCCAGCACAGTTTCAGATTGGTCAAGATAATTACCTACACTAGTGTTGTTGCCTTTTCCAAACTAGAAATGAAACTCAAGAGAATTTTAGTATGGGAGGCAATATAAAAGTGGACCTTTGTTGAAGGTCTTCAGGAGCAGTTTTGGAAAGATGTCCACAAAAGCCCACCGCTACAAGGGTGAGTACATTTTTATAGTACTAATTTAGGAAATTAGCAAAATTAATAAAAAGAACCAATTAGGAGGATGGGTGGTGATGGAATTCACCCCCGCCCCAGATCAAGCCCCTTCTCTGGAGCCCCTCTCTTGGTACTAGCTGTACTCTGTCCATGAGAATGTATCTCATAGACTTGTTCTCAATCTTGGTAGCCAGGAAGAACCAAGACAGCATGGGGCCCTTGTCCCCCATGGGACTTGGAGCTCTGGAATTTATTTTGTCTTTCTGCCTAGGGAAAAGCCATGGAAAATTACTGGGAAAACTAGCCACTAGTACAATAGGCTACAGAGCTACAAATATAAGCATGATGAATGCAGAGACCATATAAAAAAAGCAAATACAAAAATGGTGTCAGTATTGCTGTAGTGGTTTTGAGACAAGATTTTTGTTAATTTCTGACCTTCTCTAATACACAGAGTTCAGGAAAAAGGGAGAGGCAATATTACCTGTGTCTCACATAATACTAACTTCTGACTGGAAAGGAGGGGAAAGTGCAAAGAAATGGGGAGATAAATGTAAGTGCATACTTGAAGTAGAAGAATGGAAACTAATTAGACAACAGCTGCTGAAAAGGGAAGAATACAAAGAAAGGAAGACTGTAACCGGTAAGTCTTTTGTTATACTTTTTAACAGACAAGAACTCAGAATAAAAAAACACATCAAGGTAAAGAACTAAAGAAGGCTAGGATAATACTACCAAACCCTTACTCTGAGAAAGAAAACTTAAGATTTATTTTATTTTCTGTCAAATCTGCCTTTGTGTTCAGTCTATCTGTCCATCTGATTATATGAGCACACAGACAGCGTGCAGAGATTTCAAAGAAGTGCAAGTTACATATATCTGAGGGTTGAAATTATTCTGTTATACAAGTTTTCTACATGAAGGTGACTGAGCAAGAGCTATACACACTTGTTCTTCATAGCCCTCTGCTGCTTGCTAGAGCAGTATTCAACCTGAGCGAAGAGTCTCTGTGAAGAGAACTGATTGTAATGTTTCAGCATTGGTGGAATATGAAAAAAATATTGCCTATGGATCAGGGAAACACCACTGAAGGCCCAAACCCTTCGGGAGTATTCAAAACCCAACAAATTCGTTTTCCAGTCAGTGGCAACATGTGAGCAAGACGTTTTTTTACCTGCTCTCCTGAGTCAGCAGCTTGATGCACGCCGTGTGCCCACAGTATATTGCATATGTCAGAGGAGTGTTTTCATTGATGTCTCGAGGGCTGCTGTCTATCCCCAGTTCTAGCAATGTCTGCACACAGTCAGCTTTCCCTGCTGCTGCAGCCCAGTGCAAAGGAGTCCTACGGGAAAGGGGGAGTATCATTAAAATACATGAATAGATTTACAATTGAAGCTATTAATGACATAGTGAGGTGTGCACAGGATATGCTTGTGCAGATTAATAATATACATTTTAAGAAATTCTCCAGCCAACTGCTGTAGCTGCATTTATTTAGTTGCAGATAAAGTAGACATGAGGCTGCAAAATGCCTATACCTTATACAACAGCATCTCTTCCACATATGGAATTGTACAGTAGGAAAAGTGACTGAAGTTTTCAGAGTAGAATTTGAAAAAAAACTTCATTGTCCACTGCATAGGGGCAAACTCTTCTCATCTTCACACCAACCACAATTAGCCATGGTTGGCAGAGGACTCTCCATGAAGGTAATTAGAGAAGCCTCTCCCAGATGAATGACAAGGACTGAACACATCTACCAGACTGCAACTTTGCCAGTTTCTGAGTTCTAGTACAGGCACAGACCAGAGCACATATAATTTCTTTGAATCTCTGCAGAAGAATCAAACTGATTTTGTTGTTGGCATAAAATCTGCATCCTGTATTTAGAAACTTTTGTCCTGTTTCCAAATTGTTCTTGTGAAAAACCTGAAAGCACAGACAACATCACAAAAGAAGTGTTTAAGAATAAAAAAATAAAATTGAAAGTTTTCTTTCTATTTCTTTTCAGTCCCAGTGATTTCAGACTGGGTGCAATCAGAAACACAATAGAATAAAAATCTTATAGATGTGTTTGTAGTGAAAAGCTTACCTTTTCCCTCTCTGAGTGTAATACATTCTGTGGAAATATCTGAGCACATGGAATAGGTGGTCATGTCTTAATGAACTTTGAAATGTAGGCTTTGCTCCCTTTGCTCTTCTTTCCATAGAAACACAGCCTGCTCAACTACATTTTAATGATGTTTAGAAACTGCTCCAGAACCCTGTTCATTTTATTTCTGTTCCATTTTATTGCACTTTTCCATGAAGAATGATATTATTTTAAGTACCTAAAGGCCCAAGCCAAGAAAACCTTGGCTTTTGCTTCACTGAGCAGAATAATCAATGTGAATAGCCAGCTGGTTCTCTTTGCATTAAATACATTTATGAGTAAAGTTCCAAGGAAGGTAGGTGTGGGGTGAAAAAGAGGAAAGATGACTCTTCTGTACTTATGAAATAGAGATTTAATTGCAGAAGAAATCACAGGTCTTTTCAGAATAGAAGGTGAGGTTCCTCTGGTCCTGTAGGAGTATATTTTCATCTTAAATACCATAAGAGAACACTGCCATTTCTTAAATACAAATAACAGCAGCATCCCGGCTTCAAGTTGCAGGATCCTATTGTATTGTCTTAAAAAGAATGTTCATTTTTGATTGAAAGAAACTTAGGTGAGTCGTGGCAAAGTCCTTACAGAAATAAGCTCTTTTTCTAGAACAAACAGAAAGCTACATATAATTGTTTCTAGTCAGTTATGGTAATAAGTACAATACATGTGAGCTGGACGGGTTGCAGTGTTTCTGAGCAAGCACAGCTCTCTGTGGAGCGCAGGGCATTACTAGGCCATGGCCTGTGAAACAGGAAACATGATTACACGACAGAGCTGGTCTCAGGTTATTAGAAAGGGAGCAGCAATTTCAGAGTTTCCATGGTTACCTGTCATCCACATCAAGGGCCTGCAGGTTGCACTTTGGGACTTTAGCCAGCTCACTGATGATATCGCTGTAGCCTGCAGCAGCAGCAATGTGCATGCATGTTTTACCATTCTCATCATCACAATTTATTATTGATGGTCCCTGCCAGTGGTCCAGAATGATGGAACACAGAATCCTGTTGCCACTCTGGAAGGAAGTTCAGAGAGGGAAAGTGTTTTACAATGGAGCTCACACCAGGCTGGATCTTCTCTGCTAGAGAATGCTAAATACAGTAATGGTATTCTTCTGTGTGTACACCAGAATCTCAAGATATAAAAGCCAAAATCTTCCAATCTCCAGCTGGGAATTGTGCTTACTTTATGAATTTTCTAAAACACTCTGAACACTGGAAAAATAATAAATAATGAACCACTGCAAATATCTCCAGAAGTTGTAGAGTGTAAATTACTTAATAGAAATTACTTGTGGTTTTTCCTGTTTTGCTAAGCCAGAGTCCAGAAACACAAGCTTATATTTTCCAATAGAAATTTAGGGCTGAAAAGAACCTCAGAAAACCAACCCATATCTGTAAGTCTGTCTCAGTACACTTAGAAAAGCCATGTCAAATATTTGTTCAAGTGCTTCTTGAAAACTTTCTTAGCTAGTTTGCTCTGGTGTCTGGTGTCTTAATAGAAAGTCGATGTTGTTCTCTAACCTGCAAATGAAATTGAACATTTTATATCCTACCTTAGTGGAAACAGAGCAAAAGAATTAATTACTTTTTTATAACAACAGAAACACAAGGTTGCAAAGGTCTTTCTGTATCATCAAATTCAATCCCTGCAATCACTTGAAGCTATGTTACATCATTCCTCTTATAAACTTACTTTGTCCATTAAAGGCAATTAGGTTACTTTTGCCCCCATTACTCTCAAAGGAACACAGTTCAAGAACTTCTTTGTTTTTATGATCTGTATCTCTAAATTCTATTCACACTCAGGGCTGATTATATCCTTTTGTTTCTGTTCCAGCATTATTATTTGGATTAAATACTCCTTTCCTCTTACTGGTACTTGTTCTTCAGATGTATTTATAGGCAATCATCACATCTCTTTTGCATTGCTCTCTTGCTGCTCTAACCAATCATGGTCTTTTAAAGTTTTTTTTTTTTTTTTAATATGCTTTCTGTTTCTCTCATTAACCTAGTAACCAATTTCCTATAGTGTTTTAGTTATGTTTCCTTGAAGAGAGATGATTAAAATTGTACTAGTCATACAAAGATGTTTTTGCCAGATCTTTTACAGGGACACTGCTCTTCCTTATTTGTGTTAGAAATACCTCTTTTAGTATGTCATAGAACAGCATTTGCCTCATTCACAGCTGCGTCCCATTAGAAGCTCCTAGTCATTTTGGAATGACCCTTTGCACCTCAGTACTTCCTTAAGTTTTTTTCCAAGCACAGAGTTTCTAGTTTTGGGGAGGACCTTCTGTTACTAACACCAAAGTGCCTGACTTGTACATTTTATCCTATCCAATTTTGTCCTATTTATATTGCTCAAGATTTAAAGGTGATCCATAATCCTGTATGATATCCCCATTCCTTCCTGTTAGTCTTTCTGTTTTTTATTATTGGCAGATTTCATCAGAAAGCTCCTGTATTATGTGTCAAGTTATTACGAAAATATTAAACAAGAGTAATATCAAGTCTTATCCCTGAAAGTAATTTCCTTCCAGCCTCTATTCAACATTTAATCACACTCTTGTTTTCTGAATTTTAAGATACAATTTCTTTTGCTTCTCTGTACTTTTGTATCTTTTTTTGTAAGATAGCTACTTATTCTAAATATATATTTTAAAAATGGGTAGACATCCATTATCTGAAGACTCTACTATACACTTTTCCTCTCTGCTCTTGGGATTCAGCTTCCTGCCATATTTTGAACCATTGAGAGGATACATTCCAGGTCCCTGGAACATTGTGATCTCACAACTACTCAGTCCAGCTGAGAATTTCCTTAATCTATCAAAACATGTCCCTCTGAAATCAGGAATTTAGTTTTACATGTACTTTGCTTAATTTAGAGTCTAATCTTGATCATGTAATCCAAGCTTATCTTCTATGGCCAGCATTTTATAACATCCTGATTAACCATGCCCAAATTAAGTTATAGTTGTCTGAATATCTAGTGAAGAGGAGTGTTGATCCCCATATTCAGGAATACTGAGGTCCTATGAATAACTGTTGTTTTTATGGTCCAGTCCTTATGCCAGATACCAATATCCTCCATACTGGTAATAATTCCCAGTTACATATTTTCATCATTAGCATCAGTGAAATCCCTAGTCACATTCAAGGCTAACTAAATCTAGAAGTCTATTACATACTTCTAGGACTACCATAATAAATATCTATGTGTTATCATCCTTCTCTAAGTCAGTTTTGATACAAAAAATAATTTACATTAGTACCTTACTACTTCTGTATTCATGTTCTAGTTACTATTCCTCCAGTTTCACGCTGTCTTGCTAAGTCCAAATTTCACACCCTGCAGCTGCAGTTTCAGTCCCTCCATGTTCTTGCACAACTCTTAGCATCCACATAAGAAATTTCCCACTTTTCTGACTGGCATTTTATACTTTTACAGACTGTTCTGTCTCCCACCAATCTTCTGTTTTCTAGACTAAACAAACAATTTCAACCTCCCTGTGCAGGTCATGTTTTCCAATGTACTTATGATACTTGGTGCTTGCTTTTGGCCTATTTCCAGTTTGTCTACAGTTTCTTTCAACCATGGCACTCCAAACAACACAATTATCCAGCAGAGGCTTCTCTCCTGACACTGAAAATGACTTCCTGCAGCTCACATGTACCATATGTCTGTTAATATGTCCCAGAATAATGTTTGTTTGATTTATATCAACACCATAACCTAAACTCTTATCACTTTTGTAATCTGCTAGTCTATTACTCTTAATTTTGCACAAAACCCTTTAATTTTTTCACAATTCTGTATACAGTGTTATTTTATTAACTTCAGTTAATTCCTACAATTTCTCAAAATCATTTTGAATTTCATCCTTAGCCATGAAGTACTTGATGTCCCTGTAATTTGATTTTCACTGTGGGTTATATGTGTGCGCTGTATTTTGACACCTCATTATGGAGCAAATAAAAAACATTCTTATGATACACCCCTGGTTGGACAGTCTATGAGATATTCACCTCCAAAGATTATTTGAACTGTCTTGAATGTGTCTGATAGAGAATATATGATGTGTGATACAAGTCTCTGGTTGATTTTGATGGCATCACTCCTTCTTATTCCCCTGTGGGATATCCTGGAGAGAGTTCTGTGTCTATTACAGCAAGTTGTGCCTATAAAAATTGTGTTATTGATGTTATTCAATGTGATTAAACTTGCATGTGATTAAACTTGCATTAAACTTCTCAAATGAGAAAGGAACAAAGAATTAGATTTTTAATGACCACTGTATTTGCCACATGCTTAGCAAGGCTTCTGTGCCATGTGATGAGCTTTATCTTGTCACTTTTCCAGAGTTTTTGTGTTTTATTACATGGGATTAAAATGATTAAGTGACATTCAAACTATATAAACTACAATACTATACCTTATTAGGTATAGAAGCCTCTTATCTGAGGAAGCAGTAATTGCTCTGAAGATGGCTATAAAAATTCTGCCTCATTTCAACAATTCAATCAAATTGTTACTTCCATTTTCTAAGTGATCAAGAATATTTCCTAATATTTGAACTTTCTGCTGCATGAGATTTCTGGGCGATTGCTTGGTGGCTTTCCAGTTCTCTCTTCTTAGGAATGCCTTCTTATCTTTAAATTCCTCTTGGCTCTTTTGAAATTGCACTCAAAATTCTCCAAAAATGCTTACAGAGCCCTTATTCTGAGATTGATAGCTTTGAGCTGTGGTCACCAAAAATGTAGTGTTCCTGTGGTAAATTTACCGCAGTACTATTGTTAGACCAGGATGTTCTCTGGTAAATTTACCATAGGAAAATTATGTGTTTTTGTAACCTTACTGTACGCATCACTAAATTCCATGTTCCCTTTTTGTATTCAAATTCTTTACAGCAGAGATTAAAATGTTCTCAGAGATTATCAGTCATTTTTGCTATTTGTTTTTGCTTTTTTGTTTCTAAATAGTTCTGCAGGACTTTTTCCCACCCCTCCCCTGCTCCTCCCCCAGGACTTTTGTTCCATCTCACACTTTTATCTGCTTCCACCCATTATTGATTCTCCTCAGTGAAATTTTCTTCCTTCGATCCCTTGTCTCAATTAAACATACTTTATTGTTCCAGGGTGACTTTACTTGTCTCAAACCAGGATATTTATGAAGAAGAAATCTCCTAAAGCCTGTATCCCTGAGCCCCTGTAAGAAAAACTCTGTGCTTTATGCAAATTTTTGTCTGAGATTTGTATCATCTCCAGACAATGGCAAACAGCCAAATCACTAACAGATATTTAACTCTGACACTTGATTACAACTCTGGTTTCTATAAGTTGGCTAATGAAAGTCAGACTTCTGAGACTTGCGTCTCTCAGTGCTTTCCAAATAAGAAAATAATTATTCAGGAAGTATCTATCTAATGAAGTACCATGAGGAGAATCCCAAACCTCTGTGACACTTTTCTAGTTTCGACACTTCTTTCAGCTATATCTACTTAATTTATCCTCATTGTTACTACAATCATGATTCTTATATTTCAGCCCTTTCTATGTCCAACTGATAAGCAGAACAATAATTTTACTTAGAAAGTTTCTTGCCACTTTCATAATATTTTACCATAACATTACATTTTATTCTGCCAGGTTTTCAGTGTCAATAAACATTGAGAAGTTTGTTTTTTGTTTACACTGCACTGTATAGATGGCTATTTTTTTCTCCTCTTCAGAATATTCTAGCAAACTAGATAATGGGTTGTCAAAGAGGAGTCATATGAAAGGAGTCTGCTAAGCCTTCAACCAGTAATGGAGAGATGGGATGGGTAGAGGAACAAGCTATGGATCACTAAACTGGTCTCATGAAACCCAGATAAAATACCTTTCTACCAAGTAAATGCCTCTGGAGATTATATGGTTAGGTTGTATTAGTTCTCTTATATTTCCTGTCTGTTTGTACTAGCATGCAGTTTAAAGCTTTCTTATACGTACAGCCATCTTTGTCAGGAAAGTC